CATTAGTCACTCTCTCACTAATCAATAGTGGACAGTGGCCTTGAAGAAGGAGACACGATCGCCGGGACAAGAGCTTTATTAGCCGGACGTTTCGGATTCCTACTCGAATCCATCAACGGAGACAGGGGCGGCCGTCTGGGATGAATAAGCAACCCTATTTGGGAATAGCATTGCTTACCTCCACAAAAAGGAGGCTAACAGGCTATAAACGATGCCCTAAACAAAGCTGGGCTCACGATATCTAAGCGCACACCGCGGTTCGCACACTGCTTAATATACGGCGCTGCTGGGGGGCTAGGATGAATCCGCTCACTCTGGCAGCCTGGAATGTTCATTTCCTTTCGGAAAACCCCAGGAGCAACCGATCTGAACGGAGGCCGGCGCTAGTTGCTCGGGAACTGGCGCACTACAAGGTGGACATCGCTGCACTCAGCAAGACTCAGCTCCTCGAACAAAGCCAACTGGAGAAGGTGAGTGTCGGTCACGCCTTCTTCTGCAGCGGTCGCCCCAAGGCAGAGTGACGTAACGCGGGCGTCCCCTTTGCCAAGCAAAATGGCGCCATGGGACGACTGCCCTGTCTGCCATAGGGCACCAACGACCGACTGATGAGACTGCTCCTGATTCTTCGGGGATCCAACTTCGTAACCATCATCAGCACCTACACCCCAACAATGACTGCCTCAGAAGAGGAGAAGACAAAGTTCTACGAAGACCTGCACGTCTGTGCCGAAGGCGGATCAGTTAGTCGTCTTCGGCGACTTCAATGCCCGCGTCGGGACTGACTGTGCTGCCTGGAGAGGAGTGCTGCGTCCTCACGGAATCGCCGGCTGCAACGAAAATGGCCTCCTACCACGGACCTGCGCTGAACATCGCCACCTGCTGATCAACACCTTCCCCCGATGCGGAAGAATGTCATCTGGACGCACCCCCGATCGCGGTGCTGGCAGCTGCTAGATTATGTTTTCGCTCTGCGACGAACTCTCCAGGACGTGATAATGACCAAGGCGTTCTGAGAGGCCGGTGGCTGGACGGACCACCGTCTCGTCATCTCAAAGACGAAGCTCCGTCTGAAAGCCCACAAGAGTCCACACGGTAAGGGATCTCCAGGCAAGTTGAATACCGCTTTACTGTTTTTGCGTGCTCACCGTTCGCATTTTAGCGATAAACTGACGCAGCGCCTGGAAGAACTGTCAGAAAACGCCTCCGTGGAGAGTCGATGGTATCAACTATGGGACGCTGTTCACTCGATCGTCCTGGCTGTGTTCTGCCGCCCACGTCGTTGGATGAAAATGACGCAGTCGTCAGTAACGTGCTACTCGATAGGAACAGGTTGCACAGAGCCTATCTCGACCGCCCAACCGATGCGAATAAAGCGGACTTCTACCAATGTCGCCGCTTTGCGTAGCAACGGTTGCGAAAAATACAGGAATCCTGGATAGCTCACAAGGCCGAGGAGATCCAGAGGTATGCCCACCTCAACAAATCGAGGAACTTCTTCATTTCGGTCAAGGTGATCTATGGCCCCCAACGAAAGGAACCGCGCCGATTCCCAACACCGATGGATCAACTCTTTTGACGGGGAAGTCGCAGATTATGAAGCATTGGGTCGGGCACTTTAGAAACGTCCTCAACCGTCCCTCCACAATCTCCAGCGCCGTCATCGACCGGCTCCGCCAACCTCGATCTCCCACACTCCCCCCTAGGAACCATTTGCGTCGTGCAACGAATCGCCAGCGGGAAAGCACCGGGCTCTGATGCAATCCCAGCCGAAATTTACAAGCCCGGCGGCTACCGCCTGATGGACCAACTCACGGCACTATTTCAGGAGACGTGGCGCTGTGTACAAGTTCCGAAGGACTTCAATAACGCGACCATCGTCCATCTGTACAAGCGCAAATGGGGCCGCCAGGTCTGTGACAATCACAGAAGCGTCTCGCTACTCAACATCGTAAGGAAGGTCTTCGTCCGCATCCTCCTCAATCATTTCAACGGACGCCTGCGGTAGTTCGACCGTTGCAACCGTCGATGTCCATCGTGTGCTCCACGCCAAGATGGGAGCAGGCAGGGGGACGTGCACGTGAGTTAGTTTATAGTGCGAATGGACTTGCGCACCATCTATCGCAAACCCTCCTCCTCCCCGTCTGGACCCGGTGTCAGGACAGACCGGAGGCGGGAGAGACCGCAGGTGGCTGGCACGGTCGGAGTCGCACCTAGGCGTACCACCACACCCCCTCGTCCACAACAAGCACTGGTAACAATCGGGAGATGGCACCCAAAAACCCGCCTAAACAAAGCAGCCTGTCTTACGGGACAGGCGGTACTAGGGGTGGTTGCTGGTCGAGATGTGCGATACTTGCCGACGGAAAGCCTTATTTAAACTGGTTAATGATCGAAGTTGACCCGCTTTCCGTTCAGTTATTACAAAATGGGTCGCGAAAGGCAGTATAGTGGTAACTGACGAGTGGAAAGCGTATAATCGTCTTCCCTCAGAAGGTTATCTACATTTTTCTGTTAACCACTAAAAAAACTTCAAGGACTCTATCACCGGACGGCACACCAGTGCCATTGAGGCACACTGGAGTAGACTGAAAAGGAAACTCTACGAGGGAGGCCCTGCATGTGGTCGAGCTGTGTGGGCTTACATAGACGAAGTACAGTATCGTCTTTGGTTTGGCCTCAATACCATGTCTCTGACAGATGCCTGGGAACTGTTCCTGTCCCATGTTGTGCAGACTTATCCTATTTAAAAGTGATTTTGTTTTGTAATAAACTGCCATAATGGGAATGTATGCCGTATATTCAGATGTACGTGTGTAACGATGCAAAGGTTGGGTAACAGCGACCATCGTCCATGTAACCTCCTGCGATGTTCATTCGGCCAGCCCATGTTAGGCCGTCGGGGAAAGTCCAAGTAGTGCGTGAAAGTAGGCCTGCAACCGCTGATATAGCCTGAAGGCGTTTGCGTCCACTGTTAAAGGTATTATTTCTAGGTAACATATTTTTTTGGGTCCCATCACCCGATTGTTATCCAAGCACTTAACCAGGATTTTCACTAATAACAGCACAAGGGGACAAAACACAAGGGTGACTTTGGAAAAACTGGGGTTCGATCCTGCGACCGCTTGGTTAGAAGTCCATCGCCCTAAAAATCGGTTGCTGCCGGGGGTCGACAGAAAGCCCTAACGCAATGGGTAAGCGCACCTCTACCATTGAATAGTGGATGGCAAATGACAGGAAAACAAGTGCGTGAATCAGCGCTTAGGTCACGGGAGCTAGAACTAGGAGTTTCACAATGCCGGGATGGGTATGGCTGGTTGACGAAGGCAAAAAGCCAGGAATGGCGCACATCGACCCATTGGCTTCCCTAACAAACAAGCTTCGCATGGGTGATAGGGGTCACGAACAGGCAACCACCTACCAGGCCGAAGTCGGCCAAACTATGATAGCAGAGGGAAGACGACAGAGTCTGGGGCGGGAAGGGGACGTAAATTGATACAACAGTGTTTCGGCCGTGTTTGCATTTATTCAGCCAATCATAACCCTGACCGCCAGCAGCTGGGACCGAAAACACAAAAATGTGAACAGACACACCTGGCGCAGCTGGTCTACCACTGGGCTCTACCAGATGGGTCATAAGCACTTCATCGAACCGAAGTTCATCAGTGCCTCGCCACCTGTCAGCCTCTGTCGCTGCAGATCGGGTATTAATTCAATCAGGAAAGGGCGCACACCAATCTATTGGCTTCACAAAGCAAACAAGCTCCGTATGTGTGGCAAAGATCACGAATAGGCAACCAATTACCAGGCCGAAGTCGGCCAAGTCATAATAGCAGCAAGGAGGGACGACGGAGAATGCGGGTAGATTGATACAGTACTGTTTCGGGCTTATTGTGCCTTCATTCAGCCAATCATAACCCTGACCAGCAGCAGCTGGGAGCAGAAAGACAAACATGCGCACAGACACACTTGGCGCAGCTGGTCCACCACTGGGGTCTACCAGATGGGCCGACTGGTGAGCGGGAGAGAGAGAGAGAGAGAGAGAGAGAGAGAGAGAGAGAGAGAGAGAGAGAGAGAGGGAGAGAGAGGATCTAGGAAGGTCGATAAACTGGCCTACTTGACGCCCAGAAACGACATTTTGACCATTGCGAACGATGACGTCCACTGTGTGCCCATAGCGTGGCGAGCGCAGGGCGGCGAATTGTGCGCAAATTAGTTCATGGTGGGGCAGACTTGCGCAAAATCCACTGCGCCCTCCCCCCCCCCTCCCTCACCCATCTTGGCCAGGTGGGAAAACACTATCAGAGCGACCGTAGGTGGGCGCGGGCGCAGTGACTGGTAGTCCCTCTACGCGTGCCACAGCGCGTACCAGGACGGCTCCGAGTTCACATGAGTGAGGTCTGGGGCATCGTAGTGCTTAAATTGCATACCTGCGGGTTGAATTTTCACTCACATCTTGATTAGACTAGGCAATGGTCTGTCCAGAATTCCGCGACGCATCAGCACAAGGCAGTGAAATGACTGTTTCTGGCTTATTTGCTTCCACCAGCCAATAATATCCCAGACAGTAATCGAGAAGGGGCAAGGTAGACCCTTAGTCCAGCGGTATTGATCTTCTTTGAAAGCCGGCTGCGCTGCTTCCATGGTTCACAGGACTGACGTCGCTCTCTAATTTACCCTTCGCCAATCTGTTCCGCTTGCATACTTATCAAGCTTACCTCGTAAATACTCCTTCGTTTGAACATCCCTCCTCGTCGTCCCTGCAGTAGGGATTGTCCTTTAGATTTTGCCTCTCCGAATTGTCTTTGTTAACTCGCCTTTTCAGTCTATCGCACACACCCGGTTCAACTTCTAGATCATTCAACCTGGGGATTAAGTTGTGACTGACAGCAAAGAAGTTGGGAAAATTGCCCTGGTTTTGTCGTATTTTTGGTGAATCATCGGGATATTCATTAGCGGTCACTGTGCAACCGTCTCAAAGGGCTTGATGCTGACCTTCAAGGTCAAACAGAATGTGGACACTGCGTTTACGAATCGAGTCAGGTTGATTGGCAGCACTCGCATGCGACAACTCTCGAATTGAAGGGTGTCACAAATTTAGCGCCGGATTTGCTGAATTGTGTATAAGGCGGATGCTTACATTTCAGGTTGGTCTGTTGCTCTATCGTGAAACGGGTAACCTACGTTGCATCAGGGCCGGCGTATTTTGCCCCGTTTCATGTAAAACCGGACCCATTACATCTACGCAAGCGCTCATTCTTGGTTATTTTGGCTTCGGAAGAAAACATCACTTTTGTGAGGCATTAATTTGCGGTCCGCTGTCCAGTCACTTACGATATCCAGAGGAGTTTTACCTGTGCCAATCGAGACTGGCAGAAAAAAAAACTATCTCCGTGAACTTGGCTGTAGTAAAATCACTTCCTGCCCCTTTCTTCTGCACGGCATGTTATCACGCTGTGTGATTCATTCTGCGCACTTAACACTCTTTGCAAAAAGACTCGAAGGTTGAGAGAGACCTTTGAATCCACGTAATGCTTGCCTAGTCGGCGCAATGACCGAGGCTAGGGTGCTTGTGTAACAAAATGCGCGAAAATATATCACTGGAGGGTAGATTTTCCAAACATGCAACGACCATTGTTGGCCCATGCGCAGGAAGATAGCGATCGCAGTCCGCACTCCGCGTCCTAAAGTAGAAGCTGGAGATGTAAAAGCTCAGTCGGCAGGGCTTTGTTGCGATAGTGGACATAAGACGCCGTCAGCGGACGTCCGGGGCGGGGGCGGGAGGGTGCCACTTCCGGCGTGGATCAAGGCGTGTTAACCCAAGGTCATCAACCAGTTGGCCAATCAGCAGGCGGCACTAACATCCGCCTCGCGGTGATGGCGGGCAGGCTTGTAATTGTCAGTCGCGCACACGGTCCCTAGCGTCCCCCGACGAGACTAGCAACGGGACAACTTAGCATGCAAATCTACCGGAAATAGCGCGAGATTGGGTAGGCGGTCTGCATATAATGTGTGCCGTGTTGGCCTTCTGAGGTGTAGGAGCATGAAGGGGACGTTCGCAAAGTTACTGCCTGACTTTGTCTCGGATGTCCACGGCCCAGAATTCACGAGAAACCACTGAGAGGCATTGCCAACAGGTTACTGCTACAGCCCCCCCCCCGTGCAAGGGTTGTTGAACCCGAAATCCGTCAGATCGGTGAAAACGTACATGACCTTGCCGTTGAGCTTGGATTAAGCCACACTTTTTACGGAAACGCCGCGCAAGCTGCCGATTATCTGAGCAAGCCGTACATGTGTTCAGAGTGCTGAAAGAGACACGACAGAGAGACTGTGGTGGCCGCTTCTTGTCTTCAGCCGGCCGTAACCTGATCGGGTGAATGCAATGTCGCCAGAGTTAGTATTCCCGATCCCAGGTGACAGGACAACGGATCCCCCGGGCTCCATCGTAGGACTACTTGGGGCTCAAGGAACTAGGGTTCGAATTAAAATCATCCAGACCTGGGGTTGGGTGCGCCTCGATGAGGACGACTAATGGGCCAAATGTGTGCTCTGTTGGTGTTAAACTCGCCACCTGTACACAAGGAACGCGAAAAAACAGAATCGGACATCCAGTCTTGCCACTTAAGTATTAAAGACGCGCCAAGCATCTCCGTTTGGAGGTTTACCAACCAATAGGATGAATCGACCCCCTCCTGGATAAGATGCGCGGCTTTGGGGGACTACTGGGTAACGATAGGGTGTAGGACCCACAAGTGGATGGCAACTCCAAAAATATATCCTGAAATCCAGTGTGACTATAAACGTCACTTATTGTTCGCCGTTCACATTGTTTGAAATTTACCTCCCTTCCTGACTAAGCGTAAACTTACCAGCGGCGCTTTACCCAAAGCCCGTCACTTTTTGACAATTGCTTTTTGTTTATTTTTTGGCCATTGCGCTCACTTTATTTGCCAAATGACAGCGTACAATAAGGTCTTTGGGCAGAAAGTTATCTATTTTCTGCGTCTTCTTGCCCCACCGGTAAAACCCTCACCATTCAAACTATGACATGGCCCACCGGCCTACACGCAGGCAGTCGCACAGCAACTAGTAGTAGACATAAATGAGATGGAGCCGACAAGAACAACGGAGACCGGAATGGCCATTTCTGGCTTATTAGCCGTCATCAGCCAGTCGTACCCTATCCCAAGTGTGGATCACTTGAGATTCGAACCCGGGATCTTTGGTCATGGAGTTTGACATGTAGCGGCTAAGCGGTGGTGCATGCTCAGTAAGCTACAACTTCCGGTCATATCCCAGGTTGTTGGAAGCGGGACGCCATTTGGTTAGGACACTTTATTCTGCACAGAATAGTGAAGGGGAAAGTTGGCAACCGGACGAGGATGCGTCCGGCGCCGCGGAGGCGGCGTCCGCGAGAGCGACGAGCCGTGTGTCGCCGCCGCAAAAGTGTCCTGGCAGATTGTTTACGCTATTGTTCCGGACTGTTCCCGCCTGTCTTACCAATCAGCGAGAGGAGTTGCGTTGATTGGCTCCGGACCCACGCGAGGGTAGTGACAAGCCTCACAGGGTGCAGGCAGAGAATCGACCAGGTGCATGGTGCAGACAGTGAATTGCAAAGAGAAGCTGAAGGCGCACCTGCCTAACCATATCCATCTGTCGGACGAACTCATGACGGTCAAAGGAAGGGCAGCTCGGAGGCCGGATGAGTGTTCCTTGGCCTCTCGACTGATGCATGAACACCAGTTGACGACACAGAGTGGATGGAAACCCGGGGCTCGCAACACGCGCCGGACACAGCTTCGATTGACGAGCAACCACCCCTCTGGATTGGAGCTGCCCGAATATCTAAGGAGGCGCATTTAAGGCGTGGTTTAGGGGGTACTACAGCAATTGCCCAGCATATCTTCCTCGCCAGTGTTACCACCCTGCCCACTCGAAGGGGAAGATGGCTGCGTCAGAGTCAACGAAGTCTGCAACGAGTGCGACCACGGACGGCTCGAGAGGCGTGGGGAGTCCGAAAATTCAGTCGGTCCGCCCGATAACCACAGTGGCACATTGTAGTACGCCAGCAGAAAGTTCCACAACACTTCCGTAGCCGCCGTCCCATGGAGGAACTTTGAGAGGTCTATCCTGCAGTATGACAACGCACCAACCCACAAAGACCCCCCACGGACAGTCTCGTTCGTCACAGTTTCTGGATTTGGTCTGCTTCGGCCAATGTCATAATTGTCTGATCTCACACCCGTCATGGCCTATATACGTTCTCGAAGACCAGGAGAAAATGTGTTGTCATACAATTGAAACTCCTCTTCAGCCGTTAAAGAAGACACAGACGGTTTCGCTAACAAGGCGGTAGAATCGAAGATCGATCGAGACAAAGACCGAACAGGATGCCCAAGTGCCCGAAATGACAGGCGACTAATGCGCTTTTCTTGATTATCTCTTCTGTTCAATCGAAAATAGCAGCCTCGCCACGACCTCGTGTTGACCGACACACCATATTTTCGGCCCGTCCAGAGCACAGGTGACAGGAATCACCACAAAACCGTTCTTGGGGGGCACAGCCCACAGAGTAACCTAACTCGCAGATCCAAACGTCAGACAGACCGAAATTCTAATGGACAGAAGACAGTAGCGCCAATTTCCAGCTTGACCTTGAGTCCTCTGCCGTCCTCGTCAGTGGAGGTGGCGAAGAGGCATTCCGCTAAACCGCTGCAGCTGGCTGATGCGAGATGCGCGCCCATTGGTCGAAATGCTGAGCTTTCAAGGTCACCCGAAAAGACCCCCCCCATTGGCTGCGACCTAGGTGTCGGTCATTTCCAATGGCATTCAGTTTATAGCCAGCCAAGTGGGCTGACAGAGGGTGTGGGAGAGGAATATGCTGAGAAAATTTACGTTTAAAAAGGAGCGAGAATATACAAAATAGGTGAATGGGTTGTATCTCACCCTTCTGAGACATAAAACGGAAATGGGGGGGTGGGGGGTGGGGGACGGACAAGCAGTTTTTTTGTACAGAAGTGAGCACCGGCTTGTTTCGACGCGTTTGACAGCCCATTGGTGGCAGTAGAGGGGCGACACAGCCGTTGTGCTAAAATCAAGAAGACGGCAACTGAAAGTGGAACATAGCAAAATCCCATAAGATGCTGACAAAGACAAGAACAATAAATAGCTGTGATAAAAGACGTTGGGAAATAGCAGCCTCCTGAAGTCGACCTTGATGTCCTTCTGTAGGCATGAATGTGGCACACTGGCAAAGTTCTTTCTCAAGAAACAACCGCTCCCATCTCGACGACCATCGTCACCACCATCCCAGAGGCCAGCGGTGGCATGAAAACTTATCTTAATGGTGGTTCACGATCGTCATGAGACAGTCAGCGTGCCAGACTTCAGCACTCCGTGTCCTGGTAGCATTGTCGTTGCTAGTCCGCGACTGCTTATTGGCTAGAGTGCGGTAGATGCAGTGCAAGTCGGCCAGCACTACAAAAGAAACCAGGTGGAAATCGTCCGTCACGATGGTCGAAATGTCATTCCCCAGATTCGAGGGCCTGCTTATCGCGCAGCTGAAGGCTGTTCCACTATCCGCCACCGGTGAAAGCTCCGGGTAGCGAACAGTTGGGCTAGCCCTTCTTCCCAGGTCTGCTTGTCAGCTTAACTGTGGTTTACCAGACACCTCTACAGGTGGAAAGTAGTGGAACAGCTTGCGGTAAAGACAAACATGCAATTAGAAATGGGCATCGACCAGACCAATAAGTTACCTTTAAAAAGGTCACATGCCTCGGCAGTAGTAAAACACGGCGAATGTTGCGCTTCATCAAGTAAAGCCTCACTTATAGCCGTCCAGTACGATCTTGGAACTGTAAACTGACGTCGCGGCCGGATGGCTGATAAGATCCACCACCACCGCCGCCACCACCACCACCACCACCATCACCACCACCACCACCACCACCACCGAATTCCGGCGCCAGTAGCCTGGAATGTCCGTTGTCTTTTGGATAACCCAACGGACAAGCGCCCATACAGGACCGCTGACAGACGCCGCATGATGGTTCCTCTGCGAGACTCATTTTCCACAATAGGAGGGGGGGGAAGGACTTATTGAAGTTGGGTGGAGACGCACGTCCTTCTGGGCTGGCAGGCAGGAGGAGGAGTGGCATGGCGCAGGCGTCACAGGAACGACCTAATGACCAACCAGTCTCCCAGAGCAGATTCGCCAGTGCTAGGACCAGTCGTAACAATCTGCACTCCAGCATAGCAACTATACTGACGACAAACCATCTTGTCAGTCTTGACGACTGCAATGCGTGAAGTGCAGACAACGTTATTCGGGGAGGAATTGTCACGGAGTGCAGAGTTAGAGCAACAACGAACCTCTCCTCACTGTTGAGACAGTTCTTCCGTTGCAAGTGACAATGATTATCACTTAATCGAAGTGTCAGTGTTGACCTAGGCGAGCAGCAAAGCAGACTTTCGCAACATTCCCTCTATTCTCTCTCTTCCGAGTCCATTCAGACCCCAATGACATGACCGGGGACGAGCGTGGACGCGGTGGCTGGGCCCACACGTCTACACGTGCTACAAACGTGACGATTCCCACATGCAAGAACGAAACATCATGGGACCCGAATCTGATCTACAGGAAAGATGTCCTAGAGGGCTCATAAGGACACTATCCTAGGTCGAGTGGACAGTTCGGGAACCTTATTCGGTACATGTTTTAGGGTTAAACTACCATGAGGCTATAATCACACAAAAGCGTTCGCGAGACCCATTGCGATGTCGTGCAAACCCGACAAGACGGCTTTGGAGGTTTAAGATGCCTTTATGGGTTCTAATTGGTCATGGAGTTCTAGTTCTGAATCCAGAATAAAAGCACCAGAGCAGGCATCTGAAGTGTTGCTTTCTGCATCGAACGGCAGTCTTTACGGCGTACAGATTATTTTAACGAACCGAAAATGTTTACCAACATATTCTCATTACACTTGACGCACATCCTAGGCAATATCTATAAGATGCAAACAGAGCATTAGGCGATGATCGCGCAGAAACGTCTTTGGCGCGAGCTCTGGAACCTGGTACTTAGACGTTGAAATAATCGTAAGTTGCGTACGGCCAAGGTAGGCTCCCGAATAAAAAAAAGGTCACACTAAGTGCACATTGCAATTCTAAGGGCTTCTTGTCAATGGTCGTGTTGCTAACGCTGAGAATGTTAGAAGTTGAAGTGCGAACTTAGCGTAAAACAAACAAAAAGAACTAAGACAGACTGGTGGTGAAGGCAACATTGCCATTCTGGGCCGTTTTACCAACCAAGTCGACGCAGTTGACAGGATATGCTCCTAACGGACTGTACACGCTGGTTGGATGAGCACAAAGACGAGGCAAGTCGATGTGTGAGTAGAAAGCTCGTATTAGGAACTGGCCTAAGCGTCTGCGGCGGGTCCCAACAAGCTGCCAGCAAGTAGCTCTGATCCGCTACAGATATTCAGGCGTCGTGGGGCCAAGCCCGTAATCCACGTACCCATTTCCACTATCAATAACGCCTAACCCAAAATGCACATAATATCAACAACAGTATACAGCTCGCATTCAACAAACATCACGGGAATTGCATAAACAAATTCTGCAGAGCGGCCGCTTACTCGACATCTGGCCAGAAATAGCGGCACCTAGAGTTGAACTGAGCATTACTGCATACTTCTGTTGCAGTGCCGACACTTCAACTTCCGTTGCCATTAAAAGGCAACTTACCAGTGGTACGGTCCAGGGCACTTTATGAGACGGGGGGGAGAGATGAAGAACCAGGGAACGCCCTCCTCACGCTGAAGTGAGAGTAACTGTGTCGACGAAGGTCGTTGACACGAACAAATGTCGCTTTGCAGATCGCACAAACATATGGTCGTTCACCGGTGTGGCCACAGAGGTGATCACGAAGCTTACTCCGTCTTACAAAACTCTTCCTGCAAGCCTCCATCGGACAAATGTACAGGTTCTTGTAGGCCCAATTAGAGACCGCCGAAACACCCGCGGCCAATTTGTGTGCCTCGGGTATGGGATGTGGGGTTGACACGGTTGACGGTTGCGTCACCTCTTCAGTCTCCTCCGGCACCGTCACATTTGAATCTGTCGTGTTAGTCCGCTCATCAGTTCGCCCAGAGCTCGCCGCCGTACTGACTGACAAACCGGACGTCACAACATTCAGAATGCTGACAGGGACGGAGGTCACCGCCTCCTCCGACAATGGACTAACCGACTTCGATGGGCTTCTTTCTGCCCCCTCCGACACCTTACTAGCTATCGGTGGGGGACGCTTTCGGGAGTTCACAACAGGCTTTACCGCAACTGCTGACGACGGCGGCGGAGGAGGAGGCGTAGAAGCTGCTGGAAGTTGGTTCACAACCCCTGAATCCGTCGTGTTCACTCCGGAAGCAGGCTGCACTTGGGCGACCGCAGGAACATCGCACGTCGGATTAGAGGGCTTGGCCTCCGATATCACCTCCGATGACCTGCTCTCTGACGAGACAGTCGACGGTGTCTTCATCATGGTAGGTTGAAAGCCCACAAAATTTGAACCGCTGCCGTTGGGAATCACGCGAAGGGTGATTAAGCGGCCAGTTGGGAGAGGGGCAACCGGCGGCGGTGGTGGTGTCACAGTCGTAGAAATGGACGTTGACGTACTGGTCAGTACATTGGAGTCAACAGAAGTCATGCTGATGAGTGTGTCCAGAGAAGTGCGCAGAGTCGAGGTGAGGCTACTTATTGTGGCCAGAAGTTGACCAAGTTCTGTCAGGGTGGACGACACGTCCTGGGGATGCGTCAACAGAGACGACTGCGCCACCGTCAGCATACCCGCCGACACCGAGTTCGCTAGCTGGGCGATCAGATTGGCTGTTGTACTGTTCACCAGAGCTGCCGGAAGCACGCTATTCACTGCTCCAACTCGTGACAAACCGCCATTCGGCATCGGAACTGCAGTCGGCATCTGAATACTGCTCAACAACGGTGTCTGTGCAGGCGTCGAGGTGGTGGGTGTCGGCGGGACACTTGTCGTCTGCAACAGAAGCGGCCGCGTATTCACCGTGGCACCCAAAGCCTCCAGACTCCTGTTCGAACTCAGCGCCGAAACTGGAATCAAAACATGCGTTTGAGACACTGGAGCTGTCTGCGACGTAGGCAGGTTGGCTTGACCAACAACCACCGATTTAGACTTCTGAGGCTGCGCCAGATTAGCTACAGCCACTGCTCCACTGTTAGTCTCTGGCAGGTTTGTCAATGCACGAAGAACCTGACTGAGCAGGATTGAACCATTCTCAGCCGACTGCGCTTGTACCCAGGGTTCACTGACTTGAACCACCTGATTGCTGTTCTCTGAGTCCATTTGCTCCACCAGCATTCTCGCTTGTGCGCTCGCCAAACTCATTGTGTCAACCACGGCCTAGCCCGCGCGTTATCTGCTGATGCCAAGGCGGCTAATGGGCGCCTCTGAATTGGTGACCGCCTCGCCAATGCCGTGCGTCCATCGCTCTGCCATCCAAGTTGGACGGCCTGGCCAATAGGAGGCGGAGGAGTGGACTTCAGTGGCAGAGTCACCCCTGGCTATCGACCGACAGCTCCTAGCAGGAACACAACACGCGTTGAGAATGAACCAATCAGTGCCCAGCCTTGTGGTGGGTCGACAGCTGACTCAGCTGTCGCTTGCTTCGCGCACGCGAGCGCGTCTGTGTCTTGCGGCCACCACGAGCGCACTGGTAGGCAGGCTTCAGCGACGCGCTCGATGCGAACTTGGCGGCCGTCTCCTATTGATCGGTGAAACAACTCGCAACGCTCGCCGGCTTGTATGCATTTGACTTGGACTGAAAACGGGGCGATTTGATTGGCTGCCTAGCCCCTCCAACCGGCTTGCAGCTAGCGCGCTCGCCTGGTCTGCTTAAGATGTCGCCAAGCGGGGGAATGTCTCTGGGACGGTATGTTCAAGCCGACCTTGACGCCGGACCTTCACGTACCATTCTGGAAGGGATGCCGTTTGCTTACAGAGGAATGTTGCCTCGATTTTACGATTTTCCGGAGGGGTAGATATGAACACTGTCTTCACAGACATGACCTTCCCAAAATGTACGGCTCCAGTAGGGGGCGGCTTGTGTGGGGTGGAACCCTCGCTGAACGTTGTGCTGGAACGAATTAGACTCGGCACATCAGCTGCAGCCATTTTGGGCACTGGTGATCGCTGCCTGTTAAGGTGCTCTCACTTGGTGCTGGGGGAAGCGTGCACTTTTGTCCTCACCAAAATTCTACTCCTTTTGATTTATATAGAGCAAACCACTGGCCGTACGTGGCTCCTAGGTTATGATGCCCTTTGGGCGCACAGACACCGACGGTGAGATCAAAGGCATACCTGCGTACCCGATCGCAGAGAATATGAGGCTAAAATGAGTGCGAGCAATGTCCGGTTTTTGGACGTGACGCCAGCGTAGGAGGCCAAAATCGGTTGGCCGGCTGAGTCAACCGGACATATAGGCGAGTCCCGCAACCAAGTTCCATCCATGACGGCAGACTGCGTTTGTGGGCGGATTACCAGTCGGCAGATCTAGTAATTGCGGAGGGCGTAGCGCCTATTCGTGCACGGGGAACAGTGTAGACCAGCCAAAGCGGTGACCGGGTCATCCTCCTTGATGATGTCCAGGCTGAAGAATGCCGCAGTTCCCAATCCGCATATCATCTGCTCGCTGGATCTAACATCCCCCCCTAAAAGCATTCGATCACTTCCTAAGCCCGGTCTACTCGCAGACATCAGTACCAGAAACCAGATCTGCAACTGTTCCCAACGTAGAACGCTTCTTACCTCAGTTACATTCGAGTGACACGTGCCGGTGTCCGTTCGACAGTGTGAAAACTATTGCTCCAGGCGACGACTAACAACAGGCTTACGAAAAGCATGCCTACGGTCGTGCTTGTGATTCTACTGCATGAGAATTCGACTTGACTGGAGAACCAAGAACCAGGATGCAATGGCCCCTTACCAATGTGGCCTTTATGGCACTCACGCATGTGAGATCTAAACTGCCAATATTGAAGTCCGATACATGTGGAACGATACCAGGCTGTCTAGTGGCGTCCGCTACTGCGTCCATTGATGTGGTAGGGTCGTTTAAGGACTTCAATGTCCAGTCTGACGAATAAATCTGTCCTGGGCTTTGGGGCACCTCCACCAGACTGGGTGGTTTGCCAAATCTTTCCATTTATAGACCTAAAAATGAGTTCATGCACGACGACTGACTGTGCTCAACCGACTTAGACAGCAGCCGTTTTGAGCTTATTCGTACTCTCATCAGACGGTCGTACTCCGACGTCGGAGGCCGAACACAAACAACACAAGCGACTCGGATTGGCGGCGCGGCATATCGGGCATTTTCGCCCACACTGGAATGGACACCTAGAGATCTACTTTACGTCTGAGAGCTAACCAACACTGTCTTCTGATGATGGATGCAGTGGACAAGTCCGGAGCTGTCATGTCGCATGAATAAGCTTGATCCTAATGCTATTCTGCCTTTATCTCGCGCCGCTGTGCGGCTGCTGACGGGGCTCGAGCGACAGAGAGGGTCCCAAGGCACGGCAGGACGAGTGAGCTCCGTGGCGCGATCGGTGGGCGCCCTTCTACCACTGATCCTCGGCCTCTGTCGCGGGCAAGCAGCTTCCCACTTTCTGTGACCAACAAATCGTGATGTAGAAGAAAGAGCAAGCCGGTTACCAGAGTTCATTCTCGCGTTTAGTGTTAGAACTTGAAACCACGACCAGAAACAAGTATTCGCTTGCTCCTTCCTAAAGCGGACTCCCGTCTTCCATCAACCTGTGCACTTTCGTCTGCGCCCTCCTTGGGAGAAATTAACGAAGTGCTGATTGTAGTATCGTTCGGCTGGCGTGAAATTACGAAGACCTGCAGAATGCAGTCTCAGGAGTAGCTACATCAGCCAGTGGAGAAAACCAAATTACCTCCGAGTTGCAGCTCTGATGGGGTGGGGTTAGTATCGTGCATACCGGCCCTCAGCTTGAAGAATTCGCGAATTTCAGATATAGAAGGGAAAATTATTTCTACCAAGCGGACATGACAAGGACGATATCGACGCTTGAATCAATACTTCTAGCAAAGTGTAGAAGGCGCCTACCAGGTCGTTGCGATATCCCAATCGTCACAAAAGTGCATGCGTGCCGGTCAGTCCGATATTTACGGGCTAAGAGTACGGAAACCGGGATCCCATTACTGTCGTTACGTGAAAGTAATCTTCTTAAGTAAAAATCACGAATGACACAGTCCACACTTGCTGCAACAACATCAGGAGACATCTCAGACCATCCAAGAAAGACGACTGAGGCAGTTGTACAACTCTATGACTTCAGGGCTGCATAGCTAGGGGCAGTGAAAAGATCAGCTCAAAATCTGGTCAAAACAGTACGTTAAAATATGCTAGTGGGTCTAGATCTTGACCCTTCGCAAATCAAAAAGAGTGATTATATTTCGGCGGATCTGCCGACTAAGGTAATACCAAGTGGAGGAGAACTATCAGCAAAGTCAGAGGCGCTGACCGGATGGGGTATGACAAAAGCTGCATCAAGTACAAGCATATTCGTCCTCTATTTGCACAATTCGGTATTCACCATCACCACAGAGGAGTCCTTACGGCATGGACTGCCGATGCGTGCGAAACTCTGTGACGAAGACTATCGCCAGGGCCTGCTAAGACCCTGAAAAGAGCATCGATTCGAAAGACTGTCTCCTTACTTTGTACCCTGGGGAAAAACTTAACCTTGGCACATGTGAGACCGAAAAGTCTCCCCTTCCCCCACAAACACAAAAGCAACCTAATCGGCATAAAAGCAACCTGAGACAGTCTTTCTCATATTTTGCCTTTGACATCTCTCCAACTCGAAGCGTCAACTTATAATCACATTAAGTAGGGACTAAGAGGTTGTTCGATGGCCGGAACCAGTTCGTTATTAATCTGAACTTTTGAAGGCCTACAGGAGCCTATCTTCAGAGATACAAACATCAACGGAACAAGCAACAGTTATAGGGGGGTATAAACCAATCAAACATCGCTGACGCCAGTTTGGCGGTGACTTCTCGCATGCACAAACATAAGCTGGTTGCGCGACGAGGTGGCGGACTTTAACAAGTGGCTGGCCGCACCTACGCAACGGGTTTTAACTTCAAAGCCACGACAGTAATCGTCCACGCCAGAAGCAAGACTAGCCGCGAATTGATTGAAGCCTGGGTCCCAGTTAGTCGATGTATCGATCCGGTGCTGGAATACACGGCCCTGCGTAGTCACCTCTATACTGACGTCCGTGGCGTTTGATTGGCTCATAGCCTCTGTAACTGTTGTTTGTCCTGGTACCGCTTTTATCTCCCCCGACGGGCTCCTGTGCCAGTTCGAAGGCTCAGATGAATAAAGAAATGGTTCCCGCGATCAAACAGCCTTCTTCTTCCTTCCTGATACATACGCCTGGCATATGAATATTCGCCTTAATTCGTATAGTCACATTGTCGACATAACCCAAGGTAGACGGCCTTAAGCAATGATTCCTTTAGGCTCAAAAGGTCACGGACACGTTAGGCCAAAGAAAACAGAGGTACCTGTATTACGAGGGGGAGGGGGGTTGTCCTCGTGTCTTAACAAAATCGGTCCCAGGCGTCTGCCTGGACCGCCCTATGTAACCTGAATGTACACCAGTGTCCCCGCCAGGGAGCGGCTGGGTACACTGCCTACTTGACGAACGATTGAATTGCTTCCAGATGCAAGACAGGAATAAATGCAACGTATAATCGAAAGCAGATTTTGCCAGCAGCTTATAGTTGTAAGCCAAAATAATACACATTGTCATGCCATTCCAACATCGAAAGAGCAAACAGCGAGGCGAAAGGATGATGTAGTCACTCAAATTTGGCATCTATGAGGAAGGTAATTTTGTGCCCAACTCGATTGCACTCTAATGATCGGTCCAAATGCTGGTGTAAATTACAAGAGGATGGATTCTTATACTTCACTCTTGCCCTCACTCCGTTTAAACGATCACGCAGTGAGCGTAGTGATGCGCAAAACTGATAGAATTCGTCCAATTTAGGGTCCGAGACGAACAGACTTGTCCCGGGTGTCCTGATGAGCAACCTTTTTATCCCCAGCGTCCATTTTTGGGGTGGTCGGATCCCGGAAAATGTCTGCAACCCCCAGTTGCCATTTGACAGTTCGATCGTCGTGACCGGGGATGTCCACCGTGTGCCTCACAGCAGGCTGAGGGCAGGGATAGTGACTTGCGCGTGAAGTAGTTTATAGTGATAGTGGACTTGCGAAGCATCTATCGCACCCTCTCCCCTTCCCCAACCGGGATCGGGTGCCAAGACAGCGTCAAGAAGACCGGAGGCGTGAGGCGGCGCAGGTGGCTGACACGGCGAAAACCCGCACACTAGCGTACCACCACAGTCCCCTCCCCCCGGCCAACAGCGTACGCTGACCGGGATTTTATACCACAACAAAAGTAGGGAGTGGCACGAATCCAAATGGGCGCGGCGTGATCACGCACACGGGCGTGCCACCAAACTCCCAGAGTGTTGGCATTTGTTATGGGTGCATATTCCTAATAACGTCTGGCGGACGCCGACCTAGACCCCGAGTGGCCCTTTTTAGGGGTCAAGTAGCACCATACCGCCTCGTCAACGCACCAACACCCGTTTCATTGGCGGGCATCGTCTTTCCAGTCCAACGCCCAGGTTCCCCAGCACGCCAATTGCTAATGGCCCGCTAGAACTGTTGTATCCTAGCCACACTCGATGGCTTACTGCGTCAAATGCACATGGGACCGGCGACAACATCTTGACCGGACCGGACACCGATCACGTGCTGGAGGAGGCCTACGGCTATCATGCCAGCCCTTCCACGCACGATCGATAAGGGCAAATCACAACTAGGCCAAAAGGATCACTACAAAATTCACTACGCCCATGCCTCGCACCAGACAACTGACCGGTGCAGACAGTGTGGCTGCGGCCTGGGAATGGGAAGGGAGCTTGACGGATCAGCACACTTTCCTCATCTGAAACAATCTGACGCGCTTAAAGTGATCACGGTGCTCTAAAAGTCATAACTAGAAAGTTTGCCAATTGACGGGATAACTCGGACCTCGCAGTCAGTTCAGTGTGTGTTTTTATGGAGTGGCGGACTGGTGGACGGAGAGTTAGGCTGCAATGGCCTCTTCTTCCTCTTGATGTGGTCTTGACGGCACTCCCACTCCGTGAGATCCAGGCCAGATGTGGAGACACGCCTAAGGGCGGCTCCAGCAACCTGCGCCTTCCCCCACCTCCGGTCTTCTGGACTAGGTCTTGACCTCGGACCCAGGTGGTGGAGGATGAGAGAGCGAGTTAGATGCTACGAAAGTCTACTGTCACGACGGTCGAACTGCCGTGGCGGTACGCTTACGATGCGCCGGCCACCTGCTCCCTCCCCCGTCTCCGCCCTTCCTGACTCTGTCTTGACACCGGACCCAGATGGTGGAGGAGGAGGAGGAGGAGGAGGAGGAGGAGGAGAAAGTGCGATAGACGCTGCGCAAGTCACCGTCCCTCCTTTCAGCCCGCTGTGGAGCACACGGTGGGCACCGCCGGCAACGACGGTTGAACTGACACCCTGGCTTAGAGCGTCAAATACACATGAGGACGGCGATAATATTTCAAGTGGACTGAACACCGCTCACGTGCAATCGATAAGAGCAACTCAAAGGGGTCATTTCAAAAGTATGTGATGAGCGTTCCGTGCAAGTACCGTCAGTGATCGATCTCATGAAGCGTTAACCGAGAATCTGAAATACACTTCTCATTAGGAGGGATTACATATGTACGCACCATCTCACAGCTTAACTTCAAGATTGTTCAATCATTCCAGGATGTTGGCCTTTGAATGCACTCATTTTCGGCGACCTGCGAAAACCGCATTCGATTAAAAAAATGATTACCTAAGTAGTGTGCATCTTTCCTATTTATTTCCGGTGCTCTTAGAAATTCAAAAAGAGTTTATGGAAAAATGCATAAAAGTGCTCTTTCTTGTACTCATCTGGTAGCAAATCACGTCTTCCTTAAACGATGTATTTGAAGAAAGGTTATCTTCCATCTTGTGCAAAGTTCCTAATTATAAGATTTTTAAGACCGTGCTATTTTCATTCGAATAGCATGTCATCCGCAAGTTTATAAATGTTTCTCATGAAATACACCACATAGTCTACATCATTAGCGCAAAGAGGAATGTATGATTTTCCTTACCCGGAAATCATACAGCCTATAGAGTGAAAACCCTAAACAAAAATCCAATGGCAGATCGGACTCGGAATTATTCGGGAATTAGAAAACTTTCGCAAAACCCTTCGTTTGAGCATAAAATCTCGGAACTAAATGATTCTTTACTCAACTAGTACAACAATATTTTTGTGCAGGCTTCCTATGAAATACGTCTCATCTTATAAGGACATCGAAAATCAAAACGAAAAGTGCATACTACTTAAAAAGTCATTTTGGCGAGTCAAATTTTTGCAGGTGGCCGAAATGAACGGCATTCAAAAGCCGACATGCTGGCGCGTCTGAAATATCATGTAGCATAATAATCACTATTACAACCCTACTTGAGTAATCCTTCCTATTTGAATTTAGGGTAAGATGTGGTTATGTAGCCACACTTGATGGATACAATACTATTGGGGTTGGGGGTTAAGGCAACTACTTCTCGACCAATCAAAGTACAACCACGCATTCCCAATAGCTTTTCTTTTGCATACAACTACTCGACCTCGTCGTCTGCGCGTTCCCCGGCCTCATCTGTAAAGACCCCTATTACCACCGGTCCCGTATTACAGGTGGCTGGGGTTTGTTTACTTCAGGTGGGGACCCGTATCTGCTTTTGCCTCTGATGATGGTTTCGCGCGGGAATCCGAAACGTCAGGCTAATAAAGCTTTTGTCCCAGTGATCGTGTCTCCTTGTACACAACCACATCTGACCGAATTTAGGCTAACATTTCATGAGATCGGTCACTGGCGTTTGGACAGTGGTCCAGCTTCCAGTTGACAATGTACTTTCCTTGTGTTGGGAGTGCCTACACCCTCAAAAAAGAGCCATCCAATCACTGGAGGCCATGTGGGTTTTCTCCAGCACGCTGTCATCATGATCACAGCAACTCGCCATTGGCCGCTACTCTCGAGCCTGATCGATTCGGGCATGGGAGTGGTCGATTAGCTCGTCTAGAGGCTCCTTCTCGAAGTGGATTGGGCCGAATGCAGGCGAACCCCAGTAGGATTTTATAAATACGCGTTACTTCCAGTCAGACGACTTGAAGTTTCCTAATACACTTTTTCGTGGCCGGTTGCATTCTCCTTCTCTGCCGTGTTGGTACTGGGGACAAGAGTGGAGTGCGCAGACGCTCTACGTGATTTCACGTACCAGGCCGGGTCATAACACCTTGCCTTTCTGATGATACTTCGGACATGTATGCGACGAATAATGAGTTCAACGGTGTAAGCCTACTGCCCTGAAATACACGACGGCTCGACCTTCGTTGCCGACGATGTCCACTGTGAGCCCCACAACAGGGTGAGAGCAGGGGCGGTGATTCACGCGTGACTTAGCTTAAAGTAGTAGTTGACTTGCGCTGCATCTACCGCACTCTCCCCTCCTCCCCAACCTGGAGCCGTTGTAAGGAGAGCCAAAAGGACCGGAGGCGGGAGAGGGCGTAGGTGGCTGGCACGGCGTAAACCTGCACCCAGGTGTACCATCACACTCCCTGGTCCACAACGGGCACTGGCAGGGATCCCAGTTGGGTGCGCATTCCCGATAACGCCTGCCGAACTCCGATCTTGACCCTGTGTTGGTCCGGCGCATCAAACGTGAGGCCTGTTTTAGAGGCGCAATGAGGACGACCCCGTGCATGTCTTTCTAAATACAAAACCCCCTCACGTACAAGCCACCCTTGTCGTTATTAAAACAACAGCCGACAACAATCACAATAGACTAGCGGTCCGGAATGAAAGCCGAAAGGGGATTGACCTTTCTTCAGGGGGATGAAGAAAATCTATAATTCACGGTACAGTATTTGCGTTTCGTAACAATGGGAGACGAAAATCGTGGCGCGCCGCGAGCCGATGTCAACACCAAAACCCGGTCTGATATAAAGGAGAAAATTGGATTTCGACAACCCTGTGATCGGTAAACAACTGGGTGGTGGTTCCCATTTAAACTTACAAGAGGTAGGGGAAGGGGCAGTGTGTGTGTGTTGAGATTCTAGTAACCTAGTCCTCCCAATGCCCAGAGTACTTCAGCATTACTGTGGGGTACTTAGGGACACAAAAAAAACTCTCAAAAAAGCCTTCTTCGATCTCTGCTAATTTAGCTTATTTTGCCTCTAGTTGTGTCCTTATCTAAAATTCCGGGTCAATAAAAAGGCAGCTTACCAGAATGGTATGGTTCACGAGATAGAATGAGGAGAGGAGGAATCGGGGACGCTGTTTTCGGCTTTCGAGTGAGATAAATTGTGTCGTCGGAGATCGCAGCTACGGATGAATCTCGCCTTGCAGAGGGGGCACACGTAGGGTCGTTCACCGGTGTGGCCACAGAGGTGATCACGAAGCTTACTGCGTTTTATGAAACTCTTCCTGCAAGCCTCCATCGGACAAATGTACAGGTTCTTGCGGGCCCAATTAGAGACGGCCGGAGCGGCCGCAGCTAATTTCTGCGCCTCAGGTGTGGGATGCGGGGTTGACACGGTTGAAGGTTGTGTCACCTCTTCAGCCTCCTCCGACGAAGATGCCACCGGCACCGTCACATTTGAGTCTGTCGTGTTGGGCCGCTCATCAGTTCGTCCAGAGCTCGCCACCGAATTGACTGGCGAACTGGACGCCATAACATTCGAAATGCTCACAGGGACGGAGGTCACCGCCTCCTCCGACAATGGACTAGCCGACTTCGATGGGCGTCTTTCTGCCCCCTCCGGCACCTTACTAGCTATCGGTGGGGGACGCTTTCGGGGGTTCACAACAGGCTTTACCGCAACTGCTAACGACGACGGCGGCGGCGGCGGAGTAGAAACCGCTGGAAGTTGGTTCACAACCACCGAACCCGTCGTGTTCACTCCGGAAGCAGGCTGCGCTTGCGCGATCGCAGGAACATCGCACGTCGGATTAGACGGCTTGGCCTCCGATATCACCTCCGATGACCTGCTCTCTGACGTGACAGTCGACGGTGTCTTCATCACCGTAGGTTGAAAGCCCACAAAATTTGAACCGCTGCCGTTGGGAATTACGCGAAGGGTAATTAAGCGGCCTGTTGGGAGTGGGGCAACCGACGATGGTGGTGGTGGTGTCACAGTCGTTGAAATGGACGTTGACGTACTGGTCAGTACACTGGAGTCAATAGAAGTCATGCTGATGAGTGTGTCCAAAGAAGTGCGCAGAGTCGAGGTGAGGCTACTTATTGTGGCCAGAAGTTGACCAAGTTCTGTCAGGGTGGACGACACGTCCTGGGGATGCGTCAACAGAGATGACTGCGCCACCGTCAGCATACCCGCCGACACCGAGTTCGCTAGCTGGGCGATAAGATTGGCTGTTGTACTGTTCACCAGAGCGGCCGGAAGCACATTATTCACTGCTCCGACTCGTGACAAATCGCCATTCGGCATGGGAACTGCAGTCGGCATCTGAATACTGCTCAACAACGGTGTCTGTGCAGGCGTCGAGGTGGTGGGTGTCGGCTGGACACTTGTCGTCTGCAACAGAAGAGGCCGCGTATTCACCGTGGCGCCCAAAGCCTCCAGACTCCTGTTCGAACCCAGCGCCGAAACTGGAATCAAGACATGCGTTTGAGACACTGGAGCTGTCTGTGACGTAGGCAGGTTGGCTTGACCAACAACCACCGATTTCGACTTCTGAGGCTGCGTCAGATTAGCTACAGCCACTGCTCCACTGTTAGTCTCTGGCAGGTTTGTCAATGCACGAAGAACCTGACTGAGCAGGATTGAACCATTCTCAGCCGACTGCGCTTGTACCCAGGGTTCACTGACTTGAACCACCTGATTGCTG